TTCTGGCTGCTAAGGGTGACATGACACATGTTGAGGACACCCCGGAGGCCATGGCGCACGCTATTTCGGACTCCTCCCCGACAAATCGTGCTATTGAGCTTTATGGAGAGATTCATTTCTACCCAGTTGATGAGCAAGGTTTTATTATCCCGGTCACTAAAAATGACGAGGATTATCATCCGATGAAGGTCTTGAAGAAGCGTGCTTTGGATCTTGTTTGTAAAGATCGAAACGCTGATTTCAAGAAGGTGGATTATGCACGATACCCAGCGCTGAAAGAAGCCATGAGATGGGCTTATCTCAAGACTTCCATGGACCACCTTAGATGATGTCTTTGGGCCTACATTTTCCTAGCCTTTGGGCCACATTTCCTGTCCTTTGGGGACTTCTTTGTTTAGCCTTCGAGCCTTCATATTTTATCCTTTTTGGACTTTTGTTTTAGCATTTTTGCTTTCTTTACTTAGTGGGTGAGTGGGAGTTATGTTCCCTCCCCCTTATCTTTTATTTCATTTAATTTGCTTAGTGGGTGAGTTGGAGACTTGTTCCTTCCACCCCTTTCTTTATTTATGCGAATAAAACTGCTTTTACTTAAATATATATATATATATATATATATATATATATATATATATATATATATATATATATTGATGTAAATCGTCTGAAGAACTACCTGCTATATTCAACAAATATGTTAACGCAAGAGAACAATTAAATTTTGAAAACAATATGAAAAGAATTAAATCAAGAATTAAAATCAAATTAAGTAAAATTTCACATAAATAAATTGATGTAAATCATTTAATAAAAAAAAAAGAAGAATTGACCCCAAATAAATTGAAGAGGGTTGATGTGTTCAGAATCAACCATCGTCTAATATTTTCCACCATTGGTCCCAAGTCCATTTAGAAATTGAGAAAAAGCTTCATTGCGCCTTGTGCGACCAAACATATTGAGAAAAGACTTTTGGGAGACTTTCACGATCAAAGAATACACGTCCTAAATCAAATAAAAAGAATAAGAATTTGATTATTAGAAAAATCTTCAATTAACGATTGGATTTTTAGATCATGATGAACAAATTGTAAAAATGTTAAAACCCCGATCAAATAATTCAGGGTGTTATAACTAAAAAAGAAATTGATTATTATTTATGGAATATAATATAAAAGTCTAAAGAGAAATGGAAGATTTGATGGAACTAAAAGATGGTAATTACCTGGTCTTGCACAATTGATTGACACACGAGAGAGAGAATGCCAAAATGGATACTGAGGGAAAATACTAGAATGCCCATAGTATCAAAAGAAACGAAACAGTTAGAGGTGCCTCATCCAATGGTTAAGATTCATTCTTATTTCTTTTGTAAGATCTCATTCTCATCGGAACCAAAATCTATATATATATATATATATATATATATATATATATATATATATATATTAATATAAAAGGAAAATTTTATTAAAGGAAAAGAAAGGTACAGGGGGTGGCCAACCCGACAACAGGCCAAAAGGGGAACCAAAACCAACAAATAGAGTACAAGAAGGACTGCCATATACTAAACTAAAAGAAGAAGCTGACAACAGACTAAAATTAAAAGAGGAGCTGGAGATAAAGATGCAGGACTCCAACTGCATCCCTATTAAAACCCCTAAACTGCTTCTGTGGCTGGTCATCCAGCAGTTCATCTACCCCCAGATCACACCCAGTATTAGCGTCCATATACCATTCGTTTTAGCCTCCAACCCTGTCTAAAAAAAACCAGAACCCTATGGCAAATTCTAAAGCATAATTCCTAATCTGCTATAAAACCTTGAAAACCCATTTCTCTAAACCCCTAGAAAGTGCAAGATTAACCCTGCTTCATTTAGCCCTCGCTTGATCTACTAAGGACAACCAGCAAAACACGTAACTAAGTTGAATAAATAAGACTAAACTTTATATATATATATATATATATATATATATATATATATATATATATATATATATATATGATGGAATTAACCCGATCAGATGGCGGACCAAGAACGGAATATGAATTAGGAAGATATAATTACTCGATAATATTCTTTAATTAAGTATTGAATTGTCTTGTTGTGACCTTCTTTACAATGGCGGGTTTTCCCCTTTTTATAGTACATCTAATATTCCAATTAAAATTACACAAAATGGGAATGGATTATGGAGATCATGGGGTTGTGATTCCCCTTCTTTCCGGTCTCGTTCTCTTCCCATTTTGCCCATAACTCAACGATGTGGGCCACGTGTCCCATTCCCCTTTTGGACGGGGTCGCTTCGATTTACCTCGTGTTTGGGCCGTCTCCTTCCACTTGCCAAATACGAGATGACGGGCTTGGCCCGTCATCCCATCTGGTCCTATTCCTTTTGGGCCATTATGGGCCTCCATTTGGGCCTGAAGTCGGGTCTTCCAGACCCGATATCCATCACAAGCCCCCTAGTTTTCTCGCGACGTGTCGCTAGAAAACTAATGATGAGCCGCCTTCGATCTTCGTGTCGGATTAGAAACGTCGCACTCGAGTACCTCGGGTCCACCTTTCAACGGATAAATACCCCTTCTGGACTCATCTTCTTCCTCTCGCCACTGAATCTTAACCCGACCCGAATTCCGACTGCAATTTTCCCAAAATTCTCGTTTCCTTCTCCAGAATGGCCCCCACGAATCCTGAAACCTGGACCCATGGACCCTCCGTTATCAAAGAGAACGAACTCCAAGAGATGGCCGTGCTCCTGGGCAAGGGCTTCCGGGTCACCATCCCGATGCCGTTGGGGGGATTAGTTTAACCTACAATCCAAATCCCCAGAAATATATGGTCATGCAGTACCACTCTGTGGAGAATGGATTTAGGTTGCCCCTCCACGGCCTGCTCCGCGACCTCTGCCTCCATTTTGGATTTGCTCCGGGTCAATTGACTGCCAACGCGCACAAGTACGTCGCGTCCTTCATCTTACGGTGCTGTGCCCTGGACAAAACCCCGACACTAGACGAATTTCTTC